TGGCGTCTTATTTATAAATTATATAGAATATTTTTAATTACAGTATCAAAAGTTACATTTTTCACGTTTCTATTTTAATCTCAGCAACGTTTATCTCGAGTTTATAGATAAACCAGATGTTTGCCAGAGTCCTATCTATTAATTACGACTATTCTTGAACTGCCAATTATACGATACTCTTGGCAGTTCTGTTCGAGGAAGAGGAATATTTATTTCGATTTTATTTCGATGTTTATAATTTAAATATAATCTTTCATCGTGGTTACAAAATACGATAATTAAATTTACGCTCTCGCTTCGATATTTCGCGGATGTCCAACCTATTAATTATTAATTTCGTTTTTCAAATATCGCGTTATCGTCTCTCGCACGTGTTTAATTTAATCGAAGCGATATTTATCCCGAAATCACATCGACGAAACAAACCCAGTTTGATAATTATTTTCCCTTCATTCACCGTTATTTACTTCTTTTCTTCTTTTATTTATCAGTTCCCCGAATCTGCAATATACGCGATCTATCTATCAAAATAACTCGTTACGCAAGCTAGAATTTTGATTAATCCGTCGTATAAAATACTGCGATAAATATTTACGTTGCTCTACTCTTGTCGTGGCAATAAAATCTCGCAGATATCGTACGCAGGGAGGAAAATTCAGCGCGAACCTGACCCAAATATTTTTTCTCTCGGAAATCTTTGTTGCAATACGTAGACGCTGACGAGCATGTTTTCGCTGCCAAGTAACTAATCAGTGTTATTCATTAGACTATGTTTAGTAAATTACACGATAAACCGGTCGATAAACCATCGAGCGAAACATTGTGCCAAAAAAATACGAGCTCACGTTGCTCGTTTTGTTATCGTTGCGCAAAACTTTCCGATGTCGCGATACCGATCGATAGCTAAAAATTCTCTCGCTTCCGAGGATTTGATTAACGACCCGAATCCCTTTCCGATCCGTTCGAAATTCCCCGCTGTCCCGATGCAAATTGATTCAGAAACCGGATCACGCTATTTCGCTGTAGGTGTCGAAATTCGAATATTATTTCACGATATTAACATCGATTAATCGAGGTAACTCGGGTTTTCGAGTTAAGGAGCAGCGACTGAATTATCAATGAAGAGGATCGTTTTCGGACACCTTCCTTTTTCCTCGAACTTCCTTCATTGGCGGTTCGTTGGAGTATAAACTGGCTATCGTGAGCATACAGAGGCTAAATATACGCCGAGATGCAGAGGAGGCGAGATTGCTGAATAATAAAGTCGTTCTCGCGGCTGCTTAGACTGCAAAGTGGTTGCTTGTCCGAGAGCAAGAATCGAAAGGAAAAATATTTTTCTGCCAGATATCCTTGCGGAAATGATCTTGAGATTCCTGGCGAATAGCAATTCGTCTTGCTCCGGTGCAACGTCTTCGACGAGAAGAGAGGAAGAAGAAATTTGCGTACAGATCGTTTTATTGTTCTGGGCTTCTGATCGACCAACTTTCGATTCCTTATCTTTGCCGGGGAGAGATCTTGGCCTATATTTACCGTCTCGACGGCCAGAGATCGACGTTTCGACGAAATGACAAAACACCTTTCGTTGCTATAAATATTTTTAATCTTTACTTGTTCGAAAGCAAAATCACAGCTACATAAGATGTGTGGTTCCGATACTCATTCATAATAATAATAATATAATAATAATAATAGAGAATATTAATTAATAATTAATAA